TCCTGTGTGAAGGGGGTGTAGCTCAGATGGTAGAGCGCTCGCTTAGCATGCGAGAAGTACGGGGATCGATACCCCGCACCTCCAGTTCATATTTTAAATCTCAGAATCAGTTATTTTTTTGCTCTCCACACCTCACTGCAGCTGTTTGGGTTGACCGATTTCGATGCTCCTATTTTGCGTCAAGGGCGCACAAATATTAATCCACTATCCTTTGCCACCCGGCCTTCCCTCCCTGCCCGGCTCCTTGTCCCCTCTCCATCTTGATCCCACCAATCAGCTGACCAGAGCAAGCGGTGCAGCATTTTCGGTATGCGTGTGCTTCGATTGTTCAAGTGTCAGGCATCCAGGTGAGCTGTTCAACGGGGGCGTAGCTCAGATGGTAGAGCGCTCGCTTAGCATGCGAGAGGTACGGGGATCGATACCCCGCGCCTCCACGTTTTGTAAAGTTGAAGCATAACATTAGGGGGGGGGGGGTGACAGCGAGGGAGACGACTGCATCCATCCATATAACCACCAATACAGACATGCAACTCAAGATTTTGGAATTTTTGACAACATCGCCAATATTTTTCGTGCTTGCGCATTTTTATGTTATTGGGATGTTTTTTTCTATTTACAGATGATCTCGCAAGAACTGATGCACCAAAGTCACCAGTAACGTCAAATAAATCCTTTTCACATTCCTGGCGATTTCAGTAAGGTTTGCAGTAAGTTTACTTAGTGCAACAGTACAACAATATAAACAATAATTGAAAATTTAGACAGTAATCCTGCTGATTAAAAACGCTATTGTTCACTAAGAAATAGATTAGTACAGGTCTGAGTGTGCTTTTGCTTATTAATTAAATCCACTTTGACCTGCAACTTGCTCCTGCCTGATGTGCGACTGCAATTGTTTGCCTTGGAGAAGAGAGAAGATTCCCTCGGCGGTTACACGTGGCGTGAAGGGCTAAGGCCCGTGGGACTGACGCGGCGTTCTGCTCGGAGGCGTGGGGTGGCCTGGCGCTGAGCACCATTTGCTATGTAGGGGTCCTTGCGGGGACATTCTTCGAAAGTTATGTAGGGGGAGGATATTGGGTGTCTCTGAGGGTTGGGGGAGTAAAATGTTCCTGGAGGCGCGGGGTATCGATCCCCGTACCTCTCACATGCTAAGCGAGCGCTCTACCATCTGAGCTACGCCCCCGGTTGAAGAAGTGGACTTGGACACCCGATCAAGAACACTTCGTTCGACTGGCGGCAGGGCGTTATTCGACCGACGGGGCACAGCCGGCACACCGCGCCCAACCCGCCAGGCGCTACGTCCACCACCCGCCACGCCACCACTCCCCCCCCCCCACTACCTTTGCAACGTCGTGTCGTTATGAGTTATATTGCGCCCGCCTTTCTCGCGTTGTGAACATGTCTGAGCCGGTCCACCTTCAACCGGTCCGTTGGTCTAGGGGTATGATTCTCGCTTAGGGTGCGAGAGGTCCCGGGTTCAAATCCCGGACGGACCCTTATTTTTATTTTCAAAAATATTTTAGATTCGTTGGCTGGCTGGTCGTGCGGGCCTGCCCACCGCACCGAGTGCAGGCGCCCGGTGGATAGGCAGGCCTGTCGAGCATCACTGCCGTGCGGGCTTGCCCATACTACCGAGTGCAGGCGCCCGGCGGGTAGG